AGGACAAGTTTTGCGGGGGAGAAAAAGTTGGATGAGTTCCTTTACCTCTATTCGAAGCTGACACCCCTTTGTTTCTGCCTCGTGGGCGCCCTGCTTCAGTCACGTTCTCCATGTCTCGGAGAGTCTCAAACTGGTTATTGTTTCTGGAGGTTGTCCGCTTCCTCCCAGTATTGGCAGTAGTCCGGGATTGGCCTTTGTCCCTTTTGTTTTGTTTAGTATTCTGCTTGCTCGTTGCCCTACTTTTTGTTTTGTGTTTGTTTTTGACGATCATCCACGCTCCATGTTTCTCCACTGGGGCGGGTTGCTTCTGTTGCTCTATATTCATGGACACCTGGGCTTTCCCTTTTTCGTTGTCGTTCGTCGGAGCATTCGGTTCACCATTACTCTGAATCTTAGGGCAAGCCACAGAGCGATGCCCAATCTCACCACAATCAAAACATATCACTCTTAATCCCTCAAACTCAATTCGTTGATGGTAATCTTCCACGTTAACCACCGCCACCAGAGGCTTAGCAAGATCAATCTCTACCACTGCCCTAGCAAATTGTCCTCTCTGAACACCAATCGTGGTGCTATCCAGTTTCAGCGGGGTCCCCACATTCCTCAAGATTTCCTTGATTGCTTCTTCTCTGAAGAACTCAACCGGCAACCCCGGTAATCGGACCCAGACCAACATCCATTCCATCTTTGCAGACTTCGGCCTGAAGTTCAGCCGCCATCTCTTAGAAACGACGTAGTGATCGAATAGCTTCCAGGGGCCATCAACCAGCACGTGTAAACAATCTTTTTGGAGTTGGAATCTCGCAATGAACCACCCCGAACCCAAGTCAATGATCTCCGATCTCCCTTCCGGGTTCCAGATGCGTAACATCCTCTGTTGAAAGAGAGGGAGTGCCACCGCCTTACCCAAATATTTGACCAGCAAATCGTTCTTCCAAAGGCTTGATCCATTCCTCACGTTGTTTTTTAGAAAACTTTACCACCGGAATATCCACCGCGACGGCAAGGTCCTCATCCTCCTTGTCCGATTCCACCACGATATGATCTCGATGTCAAACCAGTTATTCTCCTCCTCGACGCCACCATTATCCTCGCCCAGCATGGGGTGATCGGATGCCGTCTCAGCAAATGTCCTTTTCGAGGTCTTATACCGCTTAACAACTCTCTCTCCGCCACCAACTTGCTCCGACTGCCCCTCAACGATGGACGTCGGAGCTACCGGCTTGGCCTCCATGGCCAAAGCCAGCAAAGCCGTGGGAAAACTTAACAAAAATAACTAACAAACCCTAGAGCCGTTGAGAGAGAATGGTACACGGAATTTTCAGTGAAAAATATAAGTTGACTATAACAATAGACAACCTAACATATTAGTTGTCATGACAATATTATTAATATTTATTTTTTCAAATTAAATATAACAATAGTCAGCTAGCATAACAGTTGACTAGTTGTCATGATAATATTAAGGGAAAATTGTAATTTATGCCTCTCACAAATATGTCAATTATCAATGTTATTATGTATTATTAGTGATGTAAATATTATCCCTCAATTTTTAAAACGTGACATATATTGTCCCTTGCTCTCCTAATAGGAAGAAGGAGAAATATTGTTGTCGGCGGTAGGAAAATAAACGAAGAAAGAAAAATAGAGAAAAAAAAAACATGGTTTTCGAATAGAGAAAACGACGAGTAATCACATTTACACTACTAATAATTCAGGGAAGGAACAATATATATCAGATTTTGAAATTGGGAAACAATATTTACACCACTAATAATTTAAGAATGATATATATAATTGACATATTGTGGTAGACATAAATTACAATATTTCTTAGTATTGAATAGTCACTAAATTACGCAAAATATAAGTTCACTATAACAATAGGCAACCTAACATATTAGTTGTCATGATAATAATAAGATTTCTTTTTTCTTTTTTCAAATTAAATATTACAATAGACAACTAGCATAATAGTTGACTAGTTGTCATGATAATATTAATATTTTCTCTCAAATTAAATATAACAATAGACACATTCAAAAAAAAATATAACAATAGACAACTATCATATTAGTTGTCATGATAATATTAAAATTTCATTTCAAATTAAATATAACAATAGACAACTAGCATATTTAATTAATGTTTCTCCAATTAAATTATTAGTTTAAAAATTATAGCAGAATATGAATACCATAGTATATGAAAAAATTAAAAGAATTGAAATTGCCAACTAGCATATTATTAATTGTTATTATAAACTCTAAGACAGTGAAAGAAATATTAGAAAATGACCTAGCTGCTAAAGACATTTTCATTTTTTTTTTCGGATCTGATGGAGGGGTAACTTGGGACAAAGAGCTATATGCTTCTGAATAAGAATCATCCTCGTGGAGGGGATAACCCAGTACACAAGACTTTAAAAATGATATACTAGACATATTTTAGAATATAATATAGATTAATATACGGAGTAGAAGATAAGTTTGTTGCTCTGTTAGTACAGATTTTGAATGTTGATATGAATTGTAAAATTGCACAGGTTTTGAGAGAAAATTATAAAATAAATTTAATATTTAAAAATATATTATACGATGTTGTCGGTTTTTAACCAAAAATCGACATCGTATAATTTATAAAAAGAAAATTTATAAATAACAAACGACATTTATTTTTTACTAAAAACCGACGTCGTTTGTTTGTTTGTTTTTTTTTTTTTTTTTTTTTAAGTTTTACATAATACTTACGACATCAGCTTTTAGTTAAAAATCAACTTCATATGTATAATTTAAACTTTTTTTTGATACAAACACCGTTGGTTTTTAGTAAAAACCGACGTCGTTTGTATAATTAATTTTTTTTTAAAAATACAAACGACATCAATTTTTGCTCGTTTATTAATTTTTAAATTTTTAAAAATTATACGATGTCGGTTTTTAGTTAAAAATTGACGTCGTATGTTTCATTTAAATTATTTTTAAAAATATACTACGTCAATTTTTTTATAAACGACGTTATATCATTTATTTATAACGTCTCCCAGAATGATGTTGAAAAAAACCAACGTCGTTTGTCTAAAAAAACCGACGTTAAAAATGTTATTTTTAGTAGTGTATGAGGACAACAATATATAGAGGACTGTGCAGACAGATAATGGGCACACGACAAAGTAGTATCATGCACACAATTTAGTACACAATGACATACTAGCATACATGTAAACATCATGTTTCGAACCCAGATTCTATTAATTAACAAATTTATGCACACGACATACAAATTATGGCACATGACTACATCCAGCCATGCACACGACATACAAACTAATAGCACACAACTACATTTGTCCTCACAATCCTCTATAATATAGTTGTCCTCATTTGAATATATATATATATATATATATATATATATATATATATATATATATATATATAAACTACAATGGATGGGCAAGCTGTAATCTAAGGCTCTCATGTCACTTTTCTTATTGATGTGGAAAAATGGACGAAATTTAGGGGAGCCATGTTGGCTCTCCTGTATGTCTTTATAGATAATTATTTTACATGTTAACCACTAACACTAAATAACTAATTTTATTAAATATATTTTTATAACCCGATGGTAGAATCTACTAATCGATGATTACTAAACAATGCCTGAATCTATTATTAATTAATCTACTTTGTAACATTATAAACACATATTTCTTTGTACATTTTTTAAATGTAGGAGTCTTAAGAGCATCCCCATTAGTTGGTTTTTGTTGATTTTTTTGTGTGGCCAAATGTGAGGGTGAAGAAGAGGGCCCGACCAAAGATGAAAAAGCCTGTTGGGCATGTTAACCATATCAATTTTTTTCATGACAACTCTTTTTCTAGTTGTTATACCATGGACCAGGGTCAACCTTGTAAGGTGACAATAGTAATGCCGTGCAACCGAATGTACCATGCGCATGGTGCATACGATGCAAAACGACATCGTTTTGACTAAAAACGTGCGTCCCACTTAAAAAAAAAAATTCAGGTTCGATTCTCGGCAATAGCATTATTGTGGATATATAGTTATGAATTTCTGGATATATAGTTATAAATTTGTGGATATATAGTTATGAATTTATGGATATTTAGTTCATTCATTGTGGATATTTAGTTCATTCATTGTAGATATTTACTTCATTCATTCACTGTGGATATATAGTTATAAATTTATGGATATATAGTTATGAATTTCTGGATATATAGTTATGAATTTATTGATATTTAGTTCATTCATTGTGGATATTTAGTTCAATCATTGTGGATATTTAGTTCATTCATTGTGGATTTTTACTTCATTCATTGTGGATATTTAGTTCATTCATTGTGGATTTTTACTTCATTCATTCATTCATTCATAGTGGATTTTTACTTCATTCATTCATTCATTCATTGTGGATTTTTACTTCATTCATTCACTGTGGATATATAGTTATGAATTTCTGGATATATAGTTATGAATTTCTGGATATATAAAAATGCTATTGCCGGGAATCGAACCTGTTTTCTTCTTTAAGTGGGACGCGCGTTTTTTTTAACCAAAACGGCGCTGTTTTGCAACCGTATGCACCTTGCAAGGTGCATTCGGTTGCACAGCATAATTTGTGGTAAGGTGAACCCTGGTTCTAAATAGTGTATTTTTAATATTGGAATTGTGAAGTTCTAGAATATAAATTGTGTTTTAAATTTTTAAATTTTAGATCATCACAAAATGTAAAATTTTAAAAGATAAATTGTGAACATTTAGTAGGTAAATTGTATATCTTTAGATTTAAGTCTACTTTGCAAGGATGAACCGGGTCCACATAATAATTTTTCCTCTTTTTTCTTGTTTTTTTTTCCCTCCCTGCTCCTCTCCTACTTGGTTCATAAAAACTTGTGAAAAAACTATACTAATGTGGTTGCTCTAATTCACATATACCCATTGCATTTCCTGTTCAATATTTCAGAGTTCAAACTAAAGCTGCCCTTCATTTCAAACTCTGCATCTCTCTCTACATACAACTAGCTCACTAGAATTCTTTAATGGCTTTTGTTGTCGTAACTTCTCTACTGGAAATAGTGGATCAACACCTTTCGCATCCCAACCCATCTTTGAACAATATTCTTGATGATGATGATACACAACTAGTCTTCTTGTTATCCAAGAAGCTCCGCATTCTTCAACACTTTCTTGAAACACAGACTGTTAATCAAAGTCTGGATGCAGAAATCAGAGATGTAGCTGCTAAAGCAGAAGCTGAAATCGAATCAAAACTCAGAGACCTTTATTTGGCTTCTACCAACCAAGATGAAGCTTGTTGTGGGCTTCACCAGACCTTGCAGCAAGTACTAAAGGATGTTGAGGCACTTGAAGTCCGGATCCAGATTGAGAAGGAAAGCAGATCTGCCAAAGATCAGTCACAGTCATCTCCAGAAGCTTTGAAGTTAGAAAACAAACTGCCTGCCGGCGGTTCCACTTCCACCCATCATCATGATTTAGAGCCTGAGAATCAAATGGTGGGATGTGACGATGAGTTTCGGAAAATAAAGAACATGATCATTGGTCAACAGTCTTCTGAGCAACTAGAAGTCATCCCAGTTACAGGTATGGGAGGCATCGGTAAGACTACGCTAGCAAAAAAGGTCTACGACGATCCCGATATTATGTCAAAGTTTTACATTCGGGCATGGGCAGTTGTGTCTCAAGAACCTGATGTGAAACGGATACTCATTAGCCTTTTGGCTTGCATTGTACCAACCACCAATGAACTTTACAGCAAAGAACGTGATCAGCTAGCAGACCAGTTGCGCAAACAATTGTTGGGTCAAAGGTATTTGATTGTGATAGATGACATATGGAGCAGTTCGGCCTGGGATGCAATCAAACAATGTTTTCCAGACAATTTCAGCAGAAGCCGAATCCTGATGACCACTCCGGAGAAAGAGGTGGCCGAATATGCTAGCTCAAGAAAGTCTATTCATACCAAGTGTTTTCTAAACTCAAAGGAAAGTTGGCATTTATTTGTCACAAAGGTATTTGAAGGGAAAGATGTTCCCATCCCTGAATTAAAGACTATAGGGAGATCTATTGTTATGAAATGCCATGGATTGCCACTGGCCATTGTTGTGATGGCTGGACTTCTACGTGCACTCGACAAATCAGTAGAAGCATGGGATGGTGTTGATAAGAATATGAATTCATTGGATGAAATAGATCCTAATAACCAATGTTTAGGACTACTTTCTTTGAGTTACAACTATTTGCCTAGTCACTTGAAGGCTTGTTTCCTTTATTTCGGTGTTTTTCCAGAAGATAGGGACATTCTTGCGACCAAATTGATCAACTTGTGGGTTGCGGAGGGATTTTTAAAGAAGGAGAAAGAGATGAGTAAGAGTTTGGAAGAAGTGGCAGAGAGTTACTTACACAATCTTGTCAATCGGAATCTAGTGCAAGTCAGCCAGCAAAGTTTTGATGGCAAAATCAAGTCATGTAAGCTTCATGATATGTTGCATGAGATATCTGTGAATGAAGCTAGAAGGGGAAAACTTCTGGGTGTAAGAAAACAATTCCAATCCGCAGATAGTTGTCGTTGGATTAGTTGTAAATCAACTAGTTGGCCTACTTCTGATGGAATTCATTCTATTCTCTACTTTGGTGAAGATGTGTACCTCTCGAAGCGCAACTTGGTATTCTCATGTATGATGTTGCTGAGAGTGTTGGACTTATCATTAATAAAATGTTGGCATGGCGCGCCTAGTGAAATTGTGGAGTTAGTTCATCTGAGATACTTGGCTTTGACAACTGTGGGCTCTCTCGACAAATTTCAACTGTTTAAGCTACAAAATTTGCAGACTCTAATTATTTGTTCTTGGAGGGAAGAATGTTGTTTGCAATTGCCCCGGGATATTTTGAATTTGCCACGGTTAAGGCATGCACACCTTGACAAGAGAGCAACGGCATACCTCCCAAATGTAATTCAGGAAAGCATACAAACTCTGTTTTGGTTGAAAGTTAATGGCCGGGTCCCAAGAACAACGGATTTTGCAATGGTCCCAAACTTGAAGGAACTAGGGGTTTACATTGACAATGATTTGCCACCAGGTGCTTTTGACAGTCTTGTTCAGTTGCGTTTGCTTGAGAGATTGAAATTTGAAAGGAGAAATGTGAAGGGCTTTTATCTTCCCACCGATCTTCCTCAGAACCTTAAGAAGTTGACACTTTGTAATACTTATCTTTTGTGGGAGGACATGGACATTATTGGAAGGTTACCAATGCTCGAGGTGCTCAAACTGAAAGAGTTTGCCTTCTCTGGTCCAACGTGGAAACCAGCAGATGATGGTGGGTTTAAGACATTAAAGCTCTTACTTATTGCACGCTCAGATCTTAAATACTGGAATACAACTGATGATCATTTCAAGGTCTTGGAACGCTTAATCCTAAGATTTTGCTTGGAGTTGGAAGAACTTCCAAGTGAATTTGAAAGTTCAAATACACTACAACTTATTGAGTTAGAAAATTGTTATCCTATTTTGGTGGAATCTGCAAGGAAGATTCAAGAAGAGCAACAGAACTATGGTAACTACGAACTTGTTATTCGTGATCTTGGAGCTAAGGTCAGTCTCCTATTCCCTTTCCTTGATATTGATATATTCTCCTATTCCCTTTCCTTGATATTGATATATTGGTTTTGGGCTCTTTTTATGGAATTTTTATATTATATATATATATATGGAAATCATTCATTCTAATATCTTTCACTTTATTTATTTTTGTCAATGGAAATTGGTTTTCTAGATTAAATTGTCAACTAAGGAAAGCTCTGAAGGAAATGAAAGTGAATGAGGAGTTTGATGATATATGTTGCGGGCGTTCGAGGAAAACTGGTTAAAGCCGAGGAGGTATGCATGTGAGCCTAAAACCAAAGGAAATTTGTCAAATATAATGATTAATTCAAACATTGCTTTTGATAAGTGAGTTAAGATTGTTGTGTCGTTGGGCTGTCAAATTCAAACCTTGTTTTTCTCCTCCTCCTTCTGTTGTATATTCAACTAAAATTCCTTCTGCAGATCAAAGGCTGATTTGATTAGTTATTGGTGTTTAATTTTGTAAGTTAATTGATTTCTGTGGTAAGTAGACTACTCCTACCAATTTTGGTGCAGTGGATGTTTATTGCCAAATAAATTTGAAGTGTTTCAGCTGTCATCATTCATTTATACTAGCATTTTTGGCTTTATGGCTCACCATTAGAGATTGGGAAAATTACAAATGGATGTTCAACCAGGACATTACAGAGGATAATTTCCATAGAAAAAGCTTTAATCTTGGAGCTCTTAAAGGTGCAGGCAACTTCCAACTGAGTTTGTCTGGGTGTTGGTTTAATTTGCTTTGTAATCATAAGGTTTTAATTTCGACAACATGGGGAGCAGTCTATAGGCATTTGTTGATCTTGTTGGTTTGATAATCACAAAATTCTAGATCTATTCTATTTGAATGTGTTCTATTGACGTTCTCGGTTCCAACGAATTTCATTTAACATCTCGACAAATATCATCAACCAATCATCACTTCAGCCTACAGCCCGGATGCATGCATATTTGGGAAGTCCATGCATATGTGACTCCCTTCAAGAAAGAGCTGATTTTGTGCAAACAACCATAGTAAAATGTCTAACTTTATAGTGTAATATAGTGGTAAGAACGTTAGTTTGGTCGAATAAAAAATCAAATCAAATAAAACGTCTAACTTGATAGTGTAATATAGTGGTTAGAACGTTAGTCGAATAAAAGATCAAATAAAAATCCTCCTTTTATGCTAGAAATCATTTTTCTTTGTAGATAAATTAATGTTTATAATATTAAATGATCTAGAGGCCGGATTTGAAATTTTAATTAAAATATAATGTAATTGGAAAAATCACATATCAGTTAGCCTCGTTTAGCCCAATCTTCAGTAAGCGAAGACTAGCTCAGTGAGAGTGGGCAAATTATGCTATGCGCACGGCGCTAAAACGGAAAACGACGCTGTTTTAACTAAAAAAAAAAAAAAATTGTTCGAAACGCCGTTAACGGCATATTCGTTATGAAATTATGAATATACAGTTATGACATTATGAATGTACAGTTATAGAATTATGAATGTATAGTTATGGAATTATGAACTTACAATTATGAACATAGAGCTTCGAAAATTATGAATGTTCGGTATGGAATTATGAATATACAGTATGGAATTATGAATGTATAGTTATGGAATTATGAATGTACAGTTATGGAATTATGAATGTACAGTTATGAAATTATGAACATAGAACTCTGACATTATGAACTTACAATTATGAACATAGAGCTTCGAAAATTATGAATTTACAGTTATTGAATTATGAATGTATAGTTACGGAATTATGAATGTACAGTTATAGAATTATGAATGTACAGTTATGAAATTATGAATGTACAGTTATGAAATTATGAACACAAAGCTGTGAATATATGCTCCTATAACGAAGCGGTCTGAAATTAAATTAAAAAAAAAAAAAAAGGAAGATAACGGTGCCTGACGGCACCGTTATCCGTGCCCATGATGCACGCTGGGCACGAGCCCACAGCATAACTATCCGTGAGAGTGTGAACACTGGGTTCAGGAAGCGAAGGGAATTGTGTACACGAACTTAGTTGAAACGGCAACAAATTTCACTCTTGCGTTTTCCATCCTTCCTACTCTTCATTGCTAGTTATTGGATGTTACTAGGCAAGTTATCAACCTATCTCCACTCCTAGAGATAACTATACGGCAATGAGAACACCAATTGGAATCAAGGTAGTGGTTGGCAAAACCAAGGATATCAAGGGCGACCTCAAGGGAAGAATGTCTATGGCACGGGAGCGGAAAGGAGAGTTACATTTGGTTCAAATTACAATCAATGGCAATCTAGTACTCCCTACCGACCCCCGGGAAATTCCCAAGGAGAGATGGTGATGCAAAGGAGTGAGGCAAAGGATGTAGAAGAAAGGTTATCCAAAGCCACTAATGACTGGAAGAGGGATCAAGGACTTTTAAGGCAAGAAATCTTGCAAGAGATAGCCTCGGTAAATCAAGACTACACTCTTTCATTGAAGAATAATGAAACCCAAATGTCTCAAATGTTCCGGCTAATGTCCGAAAGGCCATCAGGAACATTGCCAAGTAATACCGAGAACAACCCCAAGGAGAGAGTGAATGCCGTGTCTGTAGTGAAACCAAATGAAAGAGAAAGGAAAGATGCAATGGAAAAGGTTTGTGAATAAGATGGAACCGACACCGTGAAGGTCAACAAGCAAGAGATTACTCCCCCGAGGGGTGGTTGCAAATGTACTTGTCAAAGTAGGAAGGAATCTTGTACCGGTTGATTTCATGGTGTTAGATGTAGGGAAAAACATGGAGGTGCCATTGATTCTATGACGCCCATTCTTAGCTACTTGCCGTGCCTTGATTGATGTGGGGACGGGCAATCTTATCTTTAGGATCAATGGGGAACAATTTGATGAAAACCAAGTTGGGAAGAAGGAAAATGTTTGCTTGGTGAGTTCAAAAAAAGCCAAGAAGAAAGTGAGCCCATGGTGGGAGATCCGGAAAGTGTCTTGGGTGCCTAAGTGCCTAAAGGTCAACAACTTTGAAGAAGGATGAAAAGGTAACACGTCTAGCCAATGACGCTAAATGCGGCGCATCTTGGAAGGCAATTCAAGGTTTTCGTTTTCATTTTGTCATTTTTTGCTTGTTTAGTTCTTGTGAATAAAGTGCAAATGATAATTGTGACCTTAATTGCTTTATTTTGGACTTGGAAAAAGCTAACATTTCAAGGTATAGAAGTGGTGAAGTTGAAGAAATTGAACAAGGAGAGAGAAACAAAAAAGAAGATAAGTGGGAAGTTACAACGTGGTCACAACGCACGTTGTGCCCTGCGTTGTGACACAAGCCGTAAGTTAAAAGAAACAGAGGATTCTACAACGCAACGTTGTGCGTTGCATGGATGAGCAAAGGAGAAAATCCAAAATTTCCAAAAAGATTCACGTGCAGAAGAACGCATGTTGTTCCGTTCGTTAGGAAGAACAACGAGGTCTACAACGCCACAACAACGCGCGTTGAGGGATAAGCTGAGAAGAGAAGGATTTCCAGAAACATCAACGTGACTGATTGTAGCAAAAATAAGATGTGAGCTCGGGTGTCTTATATCGTCCTCAGGGGATTGGGAGATATGGCACGCAATATGCAATCACAAGAAACTAGGCAGTAGCATAAGGAAATCAACAAGAAGCTAAGCACACTACAAGTTTAAGGAAATGATAAGACTAACACATATACACAAAGATAAACACAAAATAAAGAAATAGGACTCAAGCTAGGGAGCATTATCATCTAGATGCTTTAACAACCTAAGGGATTAGGGAGAACAAGTAACCAAGGAATCAAGCGGGAATGCACGTAGGTATCCTAGTCTACGAACCATTCTCATGATTAATAAACAAGGATTAGAACAAGGAATTGCCCCACTTTCGTGGTGAATCAATTCCAAGTCCATCAAGCACACAAAGCATCTAAAACCCCCAATTTCCCCTATTTTCGTAGGAAGAAATCGGGTCTATGCAAGGGGTGGCTTGGATTCATCACTCAACTCTCATTGATGCAAGGAATCCTCCAAAAACAAGCTAATGAAAGTGTACATCAAACATTAACAAGATATAAATACAAAACCTTCACAAACACATGAACCTTATGCTGGAGTTCTTCCCCTTTTTGCAATAATCACAAATCAAGCATCAAGATATATAATACAACCCTAACTCAAGTCCATAAACTAGCTACTCATGATTAAATAGCATAAATAACACAAGAACACAAGCATTGAACATAAATCTTGCAAAAGAAAGAGATAAGGAAAAGAAAACTTCACTAAGAAATGGATGGTAAATCTTGGAATCCAAGTATTGAATCCTTGATTACAAGCTTGAAAAATGTTAAGAAACCTAAATCTAAACCTAATCTAACACTACAATATGAAAGGAAGTGAAAGAGATAAGCTAGGGCTCAACCATGGGTCAAAACCAAGTTGAAATGACACAAAAACGCGCCTAAATAGAGCAGAGCAGATTGGGACGCCCTCAGGGATGGGCGTACGCCAGGGGGTACGATTTTCGGTGCATTTCCAGTGAAAACTGGATCAGGGAGAAGAGATACGTACTGGCATGCGTACGGGCGTACGGCAGGGCGTATGAGGCTGCTGAAAACAGAATTCTGTGCAACTTGTCGTAACTTCTAGGCTATTTTGCTCATCTAAAACCATTTTATTGGCACTTATGGTCTTCAACAAAGTTGTAGCCCTTTAAGTTATGTTTCCAATGGTGCATGAATCACTTCATTTGAACATTCCTAGGCCGAGATATGGTCGAAAAACCGAACAGTGTCCGAAATGAGCGAAAATTACAATGTCTTGATCTTTTGCTCCTCTTTTGTTTTGATTTGCCCAAATGACTAAGACCATTGAATACACCACTCTTAGGCTCCCTTGGAAGTATTTTGTCCATCAACTTAGCTTCTCCTTGGCTCCCATGGACTTTAAATGTATCCATAATGCTCCACTTGACTCCAATATCCACCAAAATGCATGATATTACTCATCTTTGCTTCCAATGCTTTCCAAACCAAACTCCTAGCAAAATAACACAATTTAATCATAATCTCATGAAATTTGGAATGATCTATAAGCAAAATGGCTTAGTGAAAGGGAGGAAAATATAGACAAATAAGCACTTATCAACTCCCCACACTTAAACATTTGCTTGTCCTCAAGCAAAGACAAGAAATAAATCACCAACCTAGCAAAGAAATTGTTCATACTCCCACTTTGCACAACCTATCAAACCACAAACCAACTTGCTACAAGACAACTTGTTTCAAGAATCATTTTAGCCTTCCACACAAGTTCAATTCTCAAGCCAATAACCAAGCACCAAAATTATTTAAGTGTGTGATGATCAA